CGTTACCAAAACCAGAACCAGCGAGCTGTCCTGCAGAATGTAGCAAAGGCCTAACCTGTCCGGAAACGTGTCCGAGCAAATGCTGTAAGACCTCTGAACAGCACCCAGTATGTCCAGATCATTGTAATCATATCTGTGGACCAGCTTGTCCAGATCATTGCTGCCCTCAAACTCTCAATCACCCTTTATCGCCAAGTCCTCTTGTTTGTCCGCCCGAGTGTCACATAAGCTGTCATCAGTCATGTCCTGTTCACTGTTGCAAAATTGTCACGCTAGCATCAACGGCATGTCCGAGTCAATGTCAGACTAGCTGTGCGCCATCATGTCCCAGTCACTGCTGTACACCACAACAAGCCTGTCCACCTGAATGTCACATAAGCTGCTCTCAGGTATGTCCTGGCCATTGTTGCAAAGTTTTCAAGCCAATAGCTGCGGCATGTCCAAGTCAATGTCAGACCAGCTGTGCGCCATCGTGTCCGAGCAACTGTTGTACACCACAGTATCAGCCGACGGTTGCGCCAGCACAACTCGCTTGTCATTCGATTTGCAAGACAACTTGTCTTCCAGCCTGCCCGAAACACTGCTGCGTAATCAGAATATTTCCAGTTTCATTTTGCCCTGATCAGTGCCAGGAGACATGTGATCGGTTCTGTCCTTCATTTTGCTGTTCACTGCCACGACTTTCCACACAGCAGCCAACATCAGCTCCTCAAATATGCCCCTCTACTTGCAGTGCCAGTTGTTTACCACCGTGTCCAAAATTTTGCTGCAAGATATCGATTACACCATTGAATAACTGTCCAAGCACTTGTATTGATAACTGCCTCCCAAGCTGTCCAAAACATTGTTGCGAGGTTCCATACCTTTCAAATAATTTGCCATCGCCATCACCGGATGCGTGTCCGTCGCACTGTACTTATCACTGTGACAGTTCCTGTCCGTTAAAGTGTTGTTTAGGAGCAACAGATCATCCACTTTACCCACCTCAACCATCGGCACAGACTCCAAATAGTAACGGATCAGATTTCCAAGGGTCCTTCCTTTCAGTATCCCCTCCTTTGTCAAAGTGCCCAGCTTATTGCCTGTCATCCTGTATCCCTGTATGCCCTATTTATTGTTGTCAACGACAAAATATATCTCCGCTCTTGGTGAAATCACCCGAAGAAACAGTTCCACCACTTGGAAGATCCCTAAAGAATATCGACGCAGACTACAAAGCAAAAATGGTGCATCATTTATCTGAATTGTTAGCTAGTCCTCTTCTACAATGTCAACCTTCATGTTTCTCAGAGTGCTCGGATGCCTGTCCCAAAATGTGCTGTGACATAAGAAAGAAAAAGAAAATGTACGTTTTCAGACGAAAAAAGAAAGCCCATATCAGCAAACCCTTCACGGGCAAGAATGGGGATAATAGGATTGAAAATCGTCCGAAAGGAAAGGAATAAAAAGAAACACGAAAAAGCTATTTAAAATTCAAAATTTAAATCTTACTTCTTTGGAGCAATTTTGCCTTTTTTTAGAAGTGCACGCTGTTTAGTTGTCTCTGTAGTGGAACGTGACTAGTCGTACTAGCATATGCTTTGCTTATTTGTATCCATGGGCCTCTTAAAGAAAAGAACATCGGTTGGTTTTTCATGAAGAACGATAAATCTGTAATATCTGAGGCGTCGTTTGTAGGGTTCTGGCTCCCTATTTGACTCTTTATTAACTTGTTGTTGGCCAAAATACTTAAATACCCACACTACTGTAGGCTCTCTCAAGTCAGAGACAATTTGGAAACTCGAGGGAGAGAACATTTCCATTGCGTGTTGGAAAACAAAAATCAAAGTAATCTCAACAGTCAATTAGGGCAAAGGGAAATACCGCAAGGAGTCAATAGATGCGGTTACAATCTAGTCTGGCCAAGGTTTCCTCAAGGGGTAATTGGCATTGGATGGGATCAGCTTGGGCTTCCGGTGTGGTAAAATTTCCGGTTACGAGACAAATAATTAACCGATGTCAATCCTTAAATTTAGTTCTTATATAGCGAAGCGCGAAAGTTGGCCATTCTTTTTGCCCAGGCTCTCGAATTTGTTAAGTGTTTGGCAATATGGCGCAATTTCAACGTGAGATCACAACAATGGGTCCATTGTGTGCTGCAGTTTCCTGTATTGACCATTTGCTGCTTCCCGATTGGCAGACTGCTCTCGGTTGGATAAACCATTGCTAAACCCCACAACTTGGTTCTGGGAATATCATGTGAAATTCCATGTATCCATAGGGATTTTTCGTGGGCTATGTCACTGTAGGAATAGAGGTTACACACGAAACATACATAGATATAGTTTGGGAGAGGTCCTCCTTTCCGTGGGAAAATGGTCCACTGCAATCGTTATGAGTGAGAACTTAAAGTGAAACCAAGTAAATTGTGCATGGCACAGGTAAACGCTGCCGAAGAAGTCGCGATTTGTCTCAGGTTTAAATCTGATTGTTTAAGAGGCGTGTGATTTCTGGAAAAATCACATTGCGAAGTAAAGAGAAACCGAGAACACCCCATATTACTTCCAAAACTCAATTGAAAATTGCTCTGTTTGGTATCATAGGAGTAATCAATTTTTACAGGTACCTTGTATGAACTTTATTGTTTCTTAGTAGAAAATCGCAACGGCTAAAAGACCTCCTATATCAGACCCCCCACCCGAGTCAGACCCTTCTCCTTCGTCTCAGGCTCCCGGTCCCTGGAAAGGTTGAATGCCAAGTTGGCTGAGAAACAATAGTGGTTGCCAAAGTTTTGTTGGAAAAACGAAAGCAAAAAGTAGAGGTGAAAATCGAAACATAAAGGAGACGAATGATGAGGAACTTCCTTATCATAGGGAAGTGGATCTATTCCCAATTTAATTCTATACTTTAAGCAGTAGGTACCGATTATAAGATCGTTAAATGTCTTTGATTGTTTAAGAAATCTCCTTGTAAAAGGGAAGTGGATTTATTCCTAATTCAATTACATGCTTTAATTATTATCATCGAAATCTCCCTCGTTAAGTCTACAATCAAGGTCAAAATTAGTTGACGCATCATCCTTTAAGAGTTCTATTTATGTGTAGAATAACGCTCTTTTTCCACCACACTCTAAATCAATGACAAAACCTCTTCCCCCATTTATTGTTGTCCTGTGTGTAACTCTTAAAACTTATGGAATCACGATACAACATTGTTTTGAAGGGATGGCGACGAAAAGGTTTAATGTGTCAACAATTTTGTTGCTGATTGTAGGTACTTCTAGGGGAAACTATGAAAAACATTTTTAAATTAAAAAAGAATTATCATCATTCTTATCATTTTGTATCATCAATGTCGATATCAACATTGTTATGATTATCATATCATTACTTATCGTTTACTATTTATAACTATTTATTATTAACATTTCTATTATAAAAAAAATACTATGGCTATTATTATTTTTACAGTATGATGATCATTGTATTTCCCAATGATGTTACCCCAGTAACCATTTACTCAGCGCGTCTTACAAGCTGTTTTGGCTGCTTTCATTCCATAAAAACGAATGTAACCACTTTGAAGAAAACTTCACATCTTCACAAAAACAAAACAAAGCAAAACAAAGTAGAAAGGTTTTCGGATAGATAAGGAACACAAAAGCTTCATAAAGAGAAGAGAGCTCTTTATTCCTTTATTTTTTCCTTTTAGTATCTCATGTGCCCCTAATTGTTTAAAATATTCTCTTCTGTAATGTTGTTGGTGACTTCACTACTCAGAAAATGTTATCGACCCTAGTAAGATCCCGACAGACTATTTCAAGAGTATAATTTACTTGCTCAATGAGAGGGGGGTGGGGGTGGGGGTGGGGGTGAGAGGGTGAAGGGGTGAGGGGAGCGTCAAAGCCGACACGGTCCTATCCAACCATAAAGAAACATCACAACTTGTGACCCCTTATATGTCAAGAGTTTCTTGGTGGATGAATGCGTATGACATTAACCGATTTTCATTTCTCTTCCACCCATCTCGTCGCTATACTGAAACTTTCGCTTTATGATTTGGTCAATCAATCAATCAGTTAACACCAATTAATACTTTATTTACCGTAAGTTAAAAAGTTAAAAGCAACAGAGCCGATATGGACTTACATGTACTACATAAAACAATACTCTACTGATCAAAAGTTTCAAGTGTAAATCAAAATGTTTTTAAATAGTAGTCAATAATAAATGCAGTTTTGGTATTTATTCGAGATTGTATAGATATCCCTCTGAAATAACATGTTGACGGTATATTCTAGGCTAAAAGCCCACTAAATCTTAGAGAGGTTCTCCCTAAATCTTCGTTAAGATGTGGTAATTTAAAACTTGGGTAGTTGCATAAATTATAATTCGAACTTCTACTCTAAAACTTATCAAAAAGACAGAATATCATCTGCCTCCATATCATTATGTATCTTGTACATAAGTAAAAGCAATTTTCCAGTTTTATACATATTTTAATATGAATGCCTTATAGTCAAAGCTAAAACGTCCTGAGTGTCCCAAGGCAGTCTATATATGGTTTTAGGAGTACGTGCATGCATATACTCAAGCTTTAGCGTTAATGATGGGGAGCATGTGCCCCATAGTAAATTGCAGTAAGTAACTGTGAGGACTATACAAGTGAAATAGATACTTTCTATTAAATTTTAAGTAGGTCCAGGGCTTATTAACCTTTGGTGAATAGCAAACACGGATGCAACACACGGTTTTTATTAAAAAAAAATATATGGCATGGTTTACTTTAAGTTACACCTAAATACTAATCCAATCGTAGAAATTGAATTGAAGTTATTCACAAAATGAAATTTAGTACATGGTGTCATCATATATACGTATCAACTTGTTGACTTAGGTTTAGCGCGGGTTTCAGTTCAAATCGTTTTCTTGTCGGCCAAGCGTCGATCAATTCAAAAAGCTTCATCCCCCCCTCCCCCCCCGAAAACCCCCTGGGCATTTGAACTTTTAAAGACTGGCTCATTCAAATTCCCGTCTCCCGGGGCCAAAATTGTGTTCAAACACCCTACTTAAGTGCCTGATTTGATAGCCAGTTTTTTTGTAAAAGGCAGGATCAGCGACCACGACTTTCTTGCAGACCTTTTTCTTCTGAGCCATCTGCTTGCGAAAGCAAACTCTTTACCTTTAAACAGCTCCATGTTAAAAGATAAAACACGCGTATTGCGCTGGAGGGACTTGACAGGTCTGGATAAATTGCCCACCCCACCCAGACAAGGTTCAAGTTCCCCACCTTTTGGAAAGAACGACAGTCAAATGCCCGAGTGTTGACGTGGAGGGGGGGGGGGGTTGTTGTTGAAGCCTCGGTTTGATTGGCGCGTTATCTTGGGATAGACATTGTCTTATACTTTGGTTCTCACTTTCATCTCGGTGCGTTTTAGTGAGTAATGATAGCCCCTGAAAGAACGCCAGTTGACACCATTAGCATAAGACACTTGGGAGCCATTGAGGTACAATCCGTTTAGATTGGAGTGATGGCAGCTTCCGTACCACCAGGCTCCCTCGAAGCTTTGGGAGCAGTGAAGGTTGTTATGTAGATCATTGTCTTGATCATTCGTAGAAAACCTCGTATTGCTGATATAAAATCAAATTTCATGTAAGCTTGTTTTCACCTTGTTTAGACACCTAAAAAGCATTAGTTACTTATTTATTTATTTATGCACGATATTTATACAGGCTGATCAAGTTCAGCTTTAAAGCTGGTTTGGATGGTAGCCTATACAAACTAATAACAACTAGGCCAGGCCTAACCCAATACCGGGAGCTTCGTTCCTTTCTCTTTGCGAAAAGTACGTGGGTTCTTTAACATCCCCTACTGACCAGTAGAGAGAAGATGCAGGAGATGGGGCCTACGGTTTATCGTCCTTTTTCAAGAAGCTTTATCCATTTGCGGGTGTTAAAGCAAAGGCGGCACATTCTTGGTAGTCTAGGTTATCGGATTACGTAATCAAGTCACGTGACTTATCAGATCGGAACCTTGAAAAACTGTTGAGATCTCAATCTTACTGAAGTCTCACATATTACTGGAAGTGTATGTTGATGTAGTTTGTTTGAGGCTCCCGAAAGTCTTTTGGTTTATCAATTTCTTGAATATATAAAGTTAGGGCCTTTCCGCACTAGCGAATAAGTTGTTTCCTGTTAACATCAACATTTTACAAGTGCAGATTGTTTGTCGCGACTTGACAAATTTTGTTCGAGGCGGACAAATCTTCAAATGCACCGCCGACGACATTTGTCCCGGGTAAAAACTGAACAAAATCGACTTAATAAACAAAACCGTGAGAAACTTGTCGATTATTTGTCGTAAAAGCTACAATCAGCGTGTAATTGAACTGAAAGCAGTATAGTATATTGTGACGATTCAAAATTTAAACGAAGATGGAGACCAATAAAACATTAAACTCCCAAAATAAACATCAAAGCCATACGTTTTCCTTTGTTTTATCTGGAAATGTTTCTCTTTACATACAAAATTCAAACAAGATGTGATAAGCCGTTCATGATTAATTCCCTTCGAAATCAATTTCTAAAGCCACATGCCTATTCGAAACATGCTTCCCGCGGCTGGAAATGGATTCTGTCTCAGTCAACCTGAATTCCTTACTTACTTATGTAGCGTCATAGAGTCACCAGCGGTGCCCTTGTATCCTCCGATCAAAAGCCGGTACTTATCAGCTTCGTCTGCCACACCAAAATCCGTGTACTCAGCATATGTGATGTTCCCTTCAAAGTCTTCCAGGTCAACTCTCAACATGACATGATCAGCGGCTGTTAAACGGTGAAGATTGTCGTTTCCAAGCCAGAACTCTCCGCTCAGATCTCCGAAGCCGTTTTTGTAGGATTCCCATTTAAGATAAAAGTCAACAGAGCCGTCCAAGCGTTTCTGAAAAACGGTCCAGCCTCCACCGTCTGTGATCATGTCACATAACACTTGGATTGGTTTGCCGCCATCTGGATTGATGGTGTATACGCCACTGGAATTGAAAGGCTTATACTATTTTGCGAAACGAAACGAAACGAAACGAAACGAAACGAAACGAAACGAAACGAAACGAAATCGGGTCAGATGAAATAAAACAAAAGGAATAATGCAGATATATTTTCAAATAAGGTAAAGATAACTTTCACAAGGATTTTGGAGTAATCGTTCATTAATAAGAAGGATTTTTATTCATTTCGCAAAATAGTAATTTTAGGAGAGTTACTATTTTGCGAAATGGACTATTTTCACTCTGCGGTGACAACGTGACCTCTTTAATGTCGCGAAAATACATTTAAACATTACAAATTAGTATATAACCGAACATTTTGGCCTCCTCTTATTTCTTAAACCGTATTAAAATATATTTCGCAAAATAGTAATTTTAGGAGAGTTACTATTTTGCGAAATGGACCATTTTCACCCCTGCGATGACAACGTGACCTCTTTCATGTCACAAAAATACATTTAAACATTACAAATTACTATATCACCGAACATTTTGGCCTCCTCTTATTTCCTAAACCGTATTAAAATGTATTTCGCAAAATAGTAATTTTAGGAGAGTTACTATTTTGCGAAATGGACAATTTTCACCCTGCGGTAACAACGTGACCTCTTCCATGTCATAAAAATTCATTTAAACATTACAAATTAGTATATCACCGAACATTTTGGCCTCCTCTTATTTCTTAAACCGTATTAAAATGTATTTCGCAAAATAGTAATTTTAGGAGTGTTACTATTTTGCGAAATGGACTATTTTCACCCCTGCGGTGACAACGTGACCTCTTTCATGTCACAAAAATACATTTAAACATTACAAATAAGTATATCACCGAAGATTTTGGCCTCCTCTTATTTCTTAAACCGTATTAAAATGTATTTCGCAAAATAGTAATTTTAGGAGAGTTACTATTTTGCGAAATGGACAATTTTCACCCTGCGGTGACAACGTGACCTCTTTCACGTCACGAAAATACATCTAAACATTACAAATTAGTATATCACCGAACATTTTGGCCTTCTCTCATTTCTTAAACCGTATTAAAATATATTTCGCAAAATAGTAATTTTAGGAGAGTTACTATTTTGCGAAATGGACTATTTCACCCCTGCGGTGACAACGTGACCTCTTTCATGTCACAAAAATACATTTAAACATTACAAATTAGTATATCACCGAACATCTTGGCATGTTGCACCAACATGACAGTTTTCCAGTGGCGTCTAAACATGTTTAGACTCTCCGTCTCGTATAGAGAACAGAAGCATATCCATGCCGAAATAGTCGTCCAGCAGTTTTATAATCGCAAGTAATACAGTTCCTTTGCTTCAAAATTTTTAATAAAAATAATATACATGGAAAAGTTACGCGTACGCGCTTCTGATTACACCCCCGTCGCACACCTCTTCCTTACGAGCAAGAGATCGTGTTTCGCATTTGCGCAAGTTCCACGTGCTGCAAGAAGTTTGCTTTGTGCTCGCTTTGTGTGCTGTTAAATCAGGCAAGATTATGGCTTTTAAATTTCCTGTTCTTAAGCCCAAGACCATCGACTGTTCAGGTCTTCCAGTTCATGATTTCAAGTGTTTGACAAACATGGAAATCATTGGTAAGGGCGCTTATGGTGCTGTGTTCACTGCTAACTGGCAGACTGTTCCTGATGCGGGTGGGAAGTCAGCCGCTGCGGAGAAAGTGGTCGTTAAGAAATTGCTCGGCGAGGACATATTGGATAAGAAAACGTTTGTAAAGGAAGCAAGAATCATTCAAGAGTTGAAACATCCAAACATTGTGAAGTTCAAGGGAATCTGCAACAATCCCTTCGCCCTTATTCTCGAGTATGTGTATTTCGATTTCCAACCATTCGGTATCGAGTCAAAAGTTAGCTCCCTTGCAGAATTTCTTGGTGTTCTTGAGGGCTCCGATTGCGACGGTTTCGTCACCCCTCAAGTCATCTCCACCATTTGCAAGGATGTAGCATTGGGTCTTAAATATCTGCACGACAAAGATGTCGCCCATCGGGATTTAAAGCCGGCTAACATCTTGGTCACCAATCAACACTACTGTGATCTGACTACAAGTGCTCAGAGAGAAGGCTGGGAACAGCGCCCTCTGCTATGTAAGCTAACTGATTTCGGTGAAAGCCGCTCCACTAAGATACAAACTAATTCCATCCTGCAGTCCCAAACTGCTCGAGTTAATCGAGGAACACCGGTATATATGGCCCCAGAAATGCTGATTGAAGCGATTCGTTTACCGCTTGCATCAGGAGAAGATCTTAAGAGAGCCGACATTTGGTCTTTAGGCATGACCCTGTTTGTATTACTGAACCCTTGTGTCAAGTATCCCTACTTTGATGAGATACAAGCAGCCCTAAGAGAGGGAAAAACACCTCTGCAAGCACTGGAGCATTTCTTCATAACGAGAAAATTGCCAACGGAGCCATGCAAATATCAACACAAGCATGCTACTGACTGGTATTCGGTCAACAAGATTTGGCTTAAGTGTGCTCAATTTGACCCTGATAAACGGCCAAAGGTTGAAGAAGTGGTTTCCATGATCAGCCAGGGATCTACCATGTCTACTCTTAATATCCCCTTGAAGGTTAGTCATTTGTATTTTTTAAAGGGTAATATTTTTTAATCTTGTCAAGAACGAGGAAAATGTTCGTGAAAGGGTCATTAATGTAACCCAGCCAGTAATCGAGCTTTGCAAATTTCCTGAAGAGTGCGAAGTGTTCCGTGTAGAGAGTAATTTTACAAAACTGCAGTTTATCAAAATATACCATTTTAACTTTCTGCAAACAACCTTGTTCTTTTCTCTCACATGATGATTTGGCATGGAAATACGTTTCACAAAGATATTTTAAAAACCATTTTTTAAACGACAATTGTAGACACAAAAAAATTAAAAACCACATTATCTTACTGGCAAAAAGGAATTTGGAGAAGTATTTGTTGGGAAAGTGGAATATTTCCAATGCGTGGTGACAGTCTTGTCGTCCTTGTCTCCTAAAAAAGCCCTCGAACATCAGATAAAACAAGCTAAAATAAACTTATAATGTTAAAAATAATTACAGTAAAGATTATTCATCTTTGTGTGAAAGTCAAACTTTATTCCTCATAGGTCAGTCAAGCCTCATGCCTAGAACAGTACGACAGAAGGGTTGCACAGATTGTATCCAGAGGTGACAAGGTACCTGAAGAATTTCCGGATAATGATGGAACTAATGCCTGTGCCTTTCTATGTGTAAAAATTGCTCATGAAATACGTAAGTTCCGAGAAGAAGCAATTGGGGGTAGTAAGAAGCTGTGGCAAAATATTTGCGAAGTGGCAGAAAATGTCATCACAGAGTTCCCCCGAGTGGTAAATCCATACAGGAATTGTGAGGAACTCTACGATGTTCTGTCGGCGTACCAACTGATACGGAGTGTTGGTGCTGAAGTTGGCAAGTACGATTTTTCCGAAGAAATCTTGGAGAGCGACTTCGTATTCTCCCAAAAAGGGCAGACTAACCTTGTCCATGCCTTATCTTCCATGTTATCGAAAAAAGATTTTTGCGTTGCCATCTACACCTGTGAGCCATTAGTCTTCATAATTGGCCTTGCAAGCGACTGCTTCTTTATTGTAGATACCCATCCTGTTCCCGCCGAAGTTGGTGGTAAAGGCACCGGCCTTCTCAAAGTATTTTCAGAGGTAAAAGAAGAGGAAACGGCATGCGAAGGAGTCTGTCGCTGGATATGGCAGCGCCTGGTTTCTAGTGGTGTAAAAAATTATATGTTGCAGTCGCTCTCTATAATGAGCGAAAATGAAAGGTACCAGTCCTATTTCTTATGATTATTACAATATTATCCTTTACTGTTATTACACCGACGAAAGTGTAGCAGAGGAAATAGATGAATATCGCTTGATGTCCAAGTAACTTTACTTTCGAACACGGTATCCCCTGGACCTGAGAAAGCAAATTTACCATCTATATATTTGAAATTAACTTTGAACAGGTTGTCCAACAGATGATATTGCGGGGTTTCGTTTTTAAAATAATTTTTCTTTCATTTCAGTGTTTCGCCATCTTCGACTAGTAAAGAGCTGGGATTAATAGAGAGAAATGGTATGCAATCTTATCGTTTAGGCACAGATGTAATAATAGCTTGCTTAATTACCACCAACTTAAAGCCGAGTTTCAGGTATTCATATACTGAGCGAGAATTGTAGTGAATACAGTTTGACTGAAAGCACGGTTTGTATTTACCTTAAAGCGTCACTTACAAAACCGTGGTCGATTTTCGTCGTTTAAGATTAGCACTTTCCTGTACAAACCATTAAGTTAAATACATTTCCCTGATGCAACTGTACTCATTCATGTCTGAACAGAAAGCTTATTTGGTTTTACATTTCAACGAACGCCAGTTACCCTACTACGGTAAAATTACGTACTTTTTTAAGGAAGTTACTGACTGTCTATTGTGGGGTTTGTCAGAATTTGAAATACATGAGAATTAAACTGCATAAATGCAATGTTGCCTTACTTGATACTGTGAAATTCACAGATGATTGCTCACCGATTGGCAACAGCGGTGCCGAAGAAAGTGTAGGGAGGGCAGAGCTATCTGTTCCAATGATTGTGCTCAGCAGTAGTGATGGCTCCGACGTAGTCCATACCTCAGAAAGCTATATACATATTGGCAAAGGCCTGGTAGAAAACGAACCTGTGAAAAGTTCTGTGAGCATCAGTTTGGCGTCCATGAGGAGAGATGAGCCCGTGAATGAACTGGATATTACGGGTTCCACAGATGGCGCTATTTACAAAAAACTTCAGCAGTTTATAGAGTCTCAAACACGCAGAGCCAAAACGAATGCATTCTCCAAGACCAAAGTTAACCTAAGTGCAGCTCGCGAGCTGGAAGAGGAAATGGAAGACGATAGCGGAATCCCTTCATGTTCCAAACGACCCTCGAAAAGGTCCACGTAAGTGCCAAAAAAAACTAAGCGGGACTTCTGTTTTTCGGTTATTAACCTTTGTATTCTCCATTAGTATCTTAAGAAAACAGGAACACTCAGTTTTTGCTTTTCCGAATAGAATTTACACGTCACATAAGAAGAGAATTGTTACAAGCTAATGATAGAGGACCCACCGAATTAATTTATTTGTTTCTTTTATATGGAAACGATTAGGTCAACTGAAGTCGAAATAGCATCGCCGTTACACCAAAAAAAAAGACGGCGGCGGTCTCACGTATCTTCTTCGAGCAGCCTTAACGTGTCTGAAGAAGATGAGCCCGAAGTTGGCTCCGACAATGATAACTACGATCCCTACAGCAATGAAGACGACTCCGAGAAAGCTCAGGAAGGTAAAGAAAGATTAGAAAAGAGAAAGGAAACAAAACAAACAAACAAAATTGAAAAGGAAGGGCAAGAGACCACAGTTGAAATGATGAATTTTGAGAAGTTGGAAAAAGGTTTTTAGAAACCACAAGTTTAGTTTTCTCTCAACTGCCCAGAGCCTTTGTGGTTGATTCAATCGATCAGAATTGAGATTTTAGAAGAAACAGACGGTTTTGAAACACCTTGCGTGTTTCACTTTAAGAAGGAGTTTTGTATAAATGCTTTATAATTGGTAGGCGTTCATTTAAGGTATTTTGAAATATATTTTCGTACGAAGCATACTATATTTCCCCATAATGATAGAGAAAATGGCTGCAAATAGTATCAAGAGTTTTTGCTTATTATCTGTGTTTCGTTTGTCTTTTTAGGCCTAAAAATCAATGGGCAACCTGTTTTTAAAGTTTCTCAGAAGGGTCTTTCAACAAAAGAAGTTATAGATATCTGCATCGCAGGTAATTTTGACACTAAGAAAGTCTGCCGCAAGGTGGCACACGGAGTTACCGAGTCGGCCATTTTTATTGTCGATCTAAACATCGTTAATGAAGGAGATTTGACGACGGATGGTAACGGAGTATACGCGCGTCACTCTTGTCCCACCGAAGTTGTCAGGGTAGATTTTTCCAGTGAATCTCGTATCAAAAGAGTCAGCAAACGTAAAAAAGGAAAAAATCCTGAAGGAAGCCACATTTTTTCTGTCAAGCGTCATTACAGCTGGCATGCTTCTTCAGATGAGTTTTGCCGTATTATAACTAAGGTACATGACCACCGCAAAGGGGAGCTTGGACGATATGCTGTTATACAGTATAAAGTAACAGAGGAAGCAGAAAAGCTATTTTCTAGAAAGGCCCATGGAAACGTGAAACATCACAAAGAGGCTTTTTTCGAACAAAACCAAGCGTCCTTACGAGGATAAAACAGTATGCCGAAGAGAATCCTGCAAAGCACGTAATCACGAAAGTACAGCAAGATGCAGGTGGTGTTTCTAATGTCAAATCTGTGTCCGACATCCCACGTAACAGAAAACAAGTATACAACCAGGCCAGCAAAATAGAAAATCGCATTCGTTCTCGGAGTACAGGACCACAAAAAGCAGCCGATTTTACCAAATTAGTTACTCAACTGCAAACTTCTGACTTTGTAAAAGATGTTTCATTTGGTCTTCGCCACGGAAAAGATACCTCCCCAAACACATTCGCAGCGAAAGATTTGCATATTGAATGGTTAAAAAGTTTTTGTTCAGGAACCAGTCCCAAATCTCAATGCGGTATCGATATGACTTACAACTGTGGACCTTTCTATTTGACAACTTTAACTTTCCCACATCCAATGTTTGTTCATAGAAATGCACGCGATAAACACCCAACTACTTTGGCAGGCATCATGACAAGCACGAGTAGGGAAATGGAGGACTACGAGTACCTAGCAGCAAATTTAAAGAGGAAGGGCATCTGTAATCTAACCTATGGAACTGATGGAGAAACTCCTTTGGAAACAGGCTTCGAGAAGGTATTTCCAATTCATGGAACTTCTTCAAGTGACACAAATATCCATCTCCGATGTTTTGACCATGTTAAAACAAACATATTAAAGAAGTTAACAGAATTGAAGGTACCGTCACCAAAGCAAACGGAAATAGCTCGCGAGCTTCTAGGCTCTGAGCATGATGGGAGAAGGATTATAGGTCTTGTAGATTGTACCTCTGAAGAGCAGTTTGATAAGGAGCTGAAGGTTACTGAGGGCCAATGGCCAGAGGCATTTACCAAATGGCTTCACTCAAGTGAAGGTCGTCTTCGACCTTTATCTGAGAGTATGAAGAAATGCATGTTACGACCTGTTCGTGTTGCTGCTGGCCTTGGAAACCCGCCAAACAAGTGGCAAAACCAGAGAACCGAGGCATACAACAATGTCATAAAAGAGGAGATTTCCAGACAGAAAACTGATCAGGTGACGATACACGATCTCATTGAGAAACGCGTAGTGCAGCCTCATTTAGACGAGCTGGTTAAAGCCATCTATCAGATGGGAGAATATCGTCTGTCCGCAGACTATAATCACCTTGAGGTGGATCCATTACAGTGGACACAAATGACATCCCAGCAACGCGACGCAAAAATAAAAAAAGTCTTTGGTTGTATCCTTCCCAGCAGAAGGAGGGATGAGGCCATCACTAGAAAATTGTCCATAGGCCTTGTCGAGTGCCAGCTCTCATTACAATTTCCTTCTTATGAGCTTAAAGATATATGGAGGAGGGCGGAAATCATACTGTCGCATTATAAGATCATAGAACTTGCAAATACAAACTTCTGCGTCACTGAGTTTGATACCAGTTACACAGTAAAAACAAAGAAAGAGAAGATATCGTGCGACAAGACCTGCAAATCTTTCCGTGATAGTGGTGGTTTGTGCCCTCACGTCCTTGTTGTCGCTGAGAAGATTGGTAAGCTGCGAAGTTTCATCACCACTTACAAGAAAGCTTCTAACAAAATAGGAAAAATCATCAGCGCAAACCTCTCTAAACAGCTTGGGGGAAAGCCGAATCAACGAGTAAAACAAAGAAGAGGGAAAAATAACGTAAGCCAGGTGCCAGTCGTGTCAGAAGAAGACCCTTATGACGTTATGGTGCCAAAGCCCACGAGATACATCGAGTATTACCAGAATGACGAGCCCTTTTATGTGGTGTTTACTCATGACTACTCGAATGCAAGAACATGCACCGGTTGCACAAATGAGTTCCCCAAGAGAGTACAGATAGCGCCCTACGACATTGTTCTACTTCACGAGGAGCGTTATCGCTACCCTAAAAAAGACGATAACGGCAATGTTGAAATGGTCGTAACGCATAAAAAAAAGGCAAAGAGGTTTTATTGCATTGATAAGAGCTGTATCCTTCCAAGGCACCCGTATTTCTGGAGAGGCTTGATAACTGTCACCAACAGTGTAAAGCAGCGTTTGAAAGACGGTCACAAGGATTTGCTTCTTGCAATGTTGAAGTTTGAAATAGGCGAAAATTACACAAAGACCTAATTCAACAAATTAATAGTATTTCAATTCTTGTTTCTACATTAGTCTATTCAGTTGTTACAGTAGAACTCAGCCAGCTCAAATTTCCTAAGGAGACAAAAAATTGTTCGAGTTAGCTGATAGTAAATGACTGAAAAATTGGGCCAAGGGAAATTGGATCTCATTCGAGTTACCGGGGGGTTCGAGTTAGGGGGTTCTACTGTATTTCAATCGCATTTAAAACTTTCTCAGGTTTTGGGTTTCCAGTAAATTTGCAATTTTTAAAGCATATGTAAATCTTTTAAGTAATCAAATATGTACTGTTGACAATAGAATGGCAATATTTTTCATCATGGCGTAAAAATAATTCATTTCGTAGAGTAGCAATTCTTCCAAAATTACTACTTAAAGAAATATATTTTTATACGGTTTAGGAAATAAAGAGGTGACCAAGATCGGGAGTGCACCATAATGTAATGTTTAAAAGTAAATTTTTGACCCGAAAAGAAAGACATTTTTGTCATTGAAGGATAAAAATATTTCGTTTCGCAAAATGGTATGCCTGCCAAAAACTACTATTTTGCAAAATGTATTTAAATACGGTTTATGAAATAAGAAGAGGACAAAATCTTACTGCATCAACCAAATACATATTGTGTGACACGAGAATGGCAACATCGTTGCCGCCCGCCGAGAGTAAATAATCCATTTCGCAAAATAAACATTTTTCGGAATTACTACATTCAATTAGTTTAGAAATTACTACATTAAAGAGGAGGTGACCGAGATCTTTGAGAATATACTATAATGTAATGTTTAAATGTATTTTCGTGACGTGAAAGAGGTCACGTTGTCACCGCAGGGGTGAAAATAGTCCATTTCGCAAAATAGTAACTCTCCTAAAATTACTATTTTGCGAAATACATTTTAATACGGTTTAAGAAATAAGAGGAGGCCAAAATCTTCGGTGATATACTTATTTGTAATGTTTAAATGTATTTTTGTGACATGAAAGAGGTCACGTTGTCACCGCAGGGGTGAAAATAGTCCATTTCGCAAAATAGTAACTCTCCTAAAATTGTCAAACACTTGAAATCATGAACTGGAAGACCTGAACAGTCGATGGTCTTGGGCTTAAGAACAGGAAATTTAAAAGCCATAATCTTGCCTGATTTAACAGCACACAAAGCGAGCACAAAGCAAACTTCTTGCAGCACGTGGTACTTGCGCAAATGCGAAACACGATCTCTTGCTCGTAAGGAAGAGGTGTGCGACGGGGGTGTAATCAGAAGCGCGTACGCGTAACTTTTCCATGTATATTATTTTTATTAAAAATTTTGAAGCAAAGGAACTGTATAACTTGCGATTATAAAACTGCTGGACGACTATTTCGGCATGGATATGCTTCTGTTCTCTATACGAGACGGAGAGTCTAAACATGTTTAGACGCCACTGGAAAACTGTCATGTTGGTGCAATATGCCAAGATGTTCGGTGATATACTAATTTGTAATGTTTAAATGTATTTTTGTGACATGAAAGAGGTCACGTTGTCACCGCAGGGGTGAAATAGTCCATTTCGCAAAATAGTAACTCTCCTAAAATTACTATTTTGCGAAATATATTTTAATACGGTTTAAGAAATGAGAGAAGGCCAAAATGTTCGGTGATATACTAATTTGTAATGTTTAGATGTATTTTCGTGACGTGAAAGAGGTCACGTTGTCACCGCAGGGTGAAAATTGTCCATTTCGCAAAATAGTAACTCTCCTAAAATTACTATTTTGCGAAATACATTTTAATACGGTTTAAGAAATAAGAGGAGGCCAAAATCTTCGGTGATATACTTATTTGTAATGTTTAAATGTATTTTTGTGACATGAAAGAGGTCACGTTGTCACCGCAGGGGTGAAAATAGTCCATTTCGCAAAATAGTAACTCTCCTAAAATTACTATTTTGCGAAATACATTTTAATACGGTTTAAGAAATAAGAGGAGGCCAAAATGTTCGGTGATATACTAATTTGTAATGTTTAAATGAATTTTTATGACATGAAAGAGGTCACGTTGTTACCGCAGGGTGAAAATTGTCCATTTCGCAAAATAGTAACTCTCCTAAAATTACTATTTTGCGAAATACATTTTAATACGGTTTAAGAAATAAGAGGAGGCCAAAATGTTCGGTGATATACTAATTTGTAATGTTTAAATGTATTTTTGTGACATGAAAGAGGTCACGTTGTCACCGCAGGGGTGAAAATAGTCCATTTCGCAAAATAGTAACTCTCCTAAAATTACTATTTTGCGAAATACATTTTAATACGGTTTAAGAAATAAGAGGAGGCCAAAATGTTCGGTGATATACTAATTTGTAATGTTTAAATGAATTTTTATGACATGAAAGAGGTCACGTTGTTACCGCAGGGTGAAAATTGTCCATTTCGCAAAATAGTAACTCTCCTAAAATTACTATTTTGCGAAATACATTTTAATACGGTTTAAGAAATAAGAGGAGGCCAAAATGTTCGGTGATATACTAATTTGTAATGTTTAAATGTATTTTTGTGACATGAAAGAGGTCACGTTGTTATCGCAGGGGTGAAAATGGTCCATTTCGCAAAATAGTAACTCTCCTAAAATTACTATTTTGCGAAATATATTTTAATACGGTTTAAGAAATAAGAGGAGGCCAAAATGTTCGGTTATATACTAATTTGTAATGTTTAAATGTATTTTCGCGACATGAAAGAGGTCACGTTGTCACCGCAGAGTGAAAATAGTCCATTTCGCAAAATAGTAACTCTCCTAAAATTACTATTTTGCGAAATGAATAAAAATCCTTCTTATTAATGAACGATTACTCCAAAATCCTTGTGAAAGTTATCTTTACCTTATTTGAAAATATATCTGCATTATTCCTTTTGTTTTATTTCATCTGACCCGATTTCGTTTCGTTTCGTTTCGTTTCGTTTCGTTTCGTTTCGTTTCGCAAAATAGTATAAGCCGAATTGAAACCATCTTGAAACAATTGAGAGCAGCTTTTCGGTTCTATTAATTTGCGAGGAAATAAAGAACCTATTCGAAATCACTTCTTTATATGATAATTGAGCCTTTTTCTATACCTAAACAAAGCGAAATATACCTACCGCAAGGTTTTCCTGTGAAGCCATGCTTACACTGGCATCGAATGCTGTCATCTTGATAGTTGGGAACGCATATACTGTGATCACCACATCGGAAACTGTCTTCTTCACACGCGCTCTAGAGAAAAAAGTTGTGTCGAGTAACTTCCTAAACATCTGTAAGTCAAAGGAGTTTCTTTCTTTCAATAGCGCAGGGATATTCGAAGGATAGCAACTCATTTGGTTGCAAACAGGATTTGCACAAATTTCTTCAAGATATGGCCTTCGGCTTGCGCACCCTGTAACGTGCAACAGAAAACCTTTGATAGGTTGGGAGATAAACAAAGTCTACGAGACCATACACAAGCCTCGTTCTTAGGGAAATAGAGACCTCGGGTATGAATTTACCACAATGATAATGATGATGATGATGATGACGATAATGATATCATGATCAATGGTAGTTTTTATTTTTATCATCAATGTCATAATCATTACTTTTATCAGTATCTTTTTATCATCATTGACGATGGTTATAGCCATGAGTGGGTCTCCTTACGCTCCATCTAAGAAAACCAAGTCTTGCTACAATATGCGACAATTTTATTACGAAGCGCAACAGAATACACATCCTTTCTTGTTGGATAGCAAAATGCGACTAGTTGACATGGAAGATTTACTTGAAAGAAAAGCGAGAATGAAGGCTTTATATATAAAACAAATCGAAAAATTTTTCGCGAAAAATCTAGCCGTTTTCGTGAGTGGAGCCCCCTTCCCTTAACGTCAACAGCCGGAAAATTTCTATCACGATTATTTACAGATCTTCTTAAGCAGATAAGGAGGTAAAAGAAGAAATGAAAGCTTAAACAGTTCAAAGTTAATCAAGATTTTAATTCTGATCCACAACAGAAGTCATTGTTGATGCACTAAACAGATTTAGCTTACCTTTATTCCCCTGTAAATGAAATCTTTATCCTCGATAAAGTTAGCAAATCCAGCAAATCGGTCAGAGTCGCTTAGTTGACACTTGAATTTGTTTGAGTCGCCCTTTACGGTTCCAAAGTTGTAAGACTGACATCGCTCTTCATACACACACTCAAACTGACAGGAACTTTCCGAATCCACTTCTATATCTCTTATCAGGCTTCCGTTCAGCTTTTGTCTTTTTATCTTTCCGGCAAAGTTAACAGCTTTGAGATTTGGACCTGAAATACGGTTTATGCCGTAGGCAACAGCGCAAAGAAGAGACACTATGCTGAGATGCATGTTTAGTCTTCACTGTCTGAAAGAATATGATGAAAAAGGATGAATGTTTATTTCATTTCTATTGACAAACTAGATAAGCAGGTGATAAAAAATTGAAAAAAAAAACGGTATAGGCAATATGATATGTTTTTTTTGGTGACCGTCAACATAGGCAGGTTGCTAAACAGGTATTAGGCTTCCTTCAAACTGCATTAGGTTGCAGTGTTTTCCATTTTATTAAAACTTTTTTCTCACCGTGACTATTCTTCTTGAGGACTGATGGTTGAATCATCTTTTTCTCATACAGAGAGCCTAAAGGAAAGGACTTGGTAAAAGGACTTTTTAATTTTCTTTAGTTATACATATTTGCATTCTAGTATCTATATTTGAATAATTTTCAGCATCTATGACTCTTTCCTCGTCAAAATTTAATAGCATCTTTAAGATCCTGCTCGGAAATATAACTGATGTCGAGTGAAGCTGTTTAGATAATGATGACAATCTAATGTTTCGTTTTCATTCTCAGAAATCGGAGTCGGTGCGTGCAACATAAATTGACAAATGCTCTTAAGCAAGTTTCAAACCTAAGGCCTATTTGATCGGAGTCGGTGCGTGCAACATAAATTGTCAAATGCTCTTAAGCAAGTTTCAAACCTAAGGCCTATTTAAATTAGTCCATTGATTTAATAATTACGGCAGGTACTCTGGCATAACTTTCTGTGTCCCCAAAATTTCCCTGAGACTTTTTAGAACTTTTGAGTGTTTCTTTCCCTTAGCCTTCATGCAGTGTACTTAATTAAAACACAGAATGAGAAAAATACAGATGAATATGGGCCATTTATCAGGAAATAATATATTAAAGAGTAAAAACCAAACGTTTTCGACACTAGGTTATCATGAGGGTAAATAAACACCGTCCGCCAAATTGACGATATTTTATTTACCTAATTCCCGATGGGAGGAGTTTCGTGACGAGTTTTGTTCGGGAAGTGGCAGAGAGCACGTTTGAAGAGAAGTTTATTGCTGATTTTGGGTAATTTGTTGTACGTGTGAATTCATTTAGTGATGTAGTCAATGGCGTCCTCCACATTTACTTCAATGAAGAGCGCGAAGACGTCATTGGCAAACACGTCTAATGACCTGGAACCTACATACCATCCCCGGGAGAATCGTTCGCATTCCTTCAACTGGGGCATGATCTGCACGGAGAAGTCTTTTTATTAACTCAGAATCCTTGAAGGTCTCATGATGCAACTTTTGCAGCCTAGTTTGAATAAGCAACTTAATTCCTACGTTGCGAAACGACTCCCATCGGTAATTATTTAAGGATATAAAATATGCAATTTAGCGGACAGTGCTTATTAATAATAACCTAATGATAATAAACTAATGTCGAAAACGTTTTGTTCTTACTACTTAATTTTTTGTTTCCTTGTGAATAGCACATTTTTTAACCTTAGCGAACTTAATGGACATAGATGAATATGTTGTGGTTCAATTTTATCCCTGGTTCAAATTTTATTTTCGTTTGTCTCGGTTGTTTGTAATGTATGATAATGAGTTTTGAAACAAAGGAAAATAAAATTTGAACCAAGGATAAAATTGAACCGCAAGAAATAGGTGTCCATCAATCTTCACACATAAATTAGATTTTCACTCTTGTTTCCTTTTCTAATTAACTTTCATAAGTTTCTTTCTCAAGTTAATTCATGTTGCAGATAAGTAATGCTCAATTGTTTGTCCCTCGTGTCAGAAATGAGAGCACCGGCTGTTTATACTTTTTTCATAAGTTTTGTGTTATTTGCCGGTACAGCAAAAATTATTTGAATCCCAACAAAGTGGAAAAAAAACTCCTCAAGTCTAAAAGTGTCCACGGGACTAAAAGACAGAAAAAAATATGAAATAGAAGACTGAGTCACAAGAAATAAAAAGCTCAGTTAAGGTCCTGAGTGCAAAATTTAGGCTTAGAAATTATTTTTCTCGGGGCTGTGCTTGTAGTCTGCAATCTGCAATCAAACTTAGTTTACGGAAGATGGAGTTAATATGGTTCGGCTGTCTACCATTAGAGAAATGTTTGGACAGTTTAAAGATGTCTGCAGTATCAGTTTCCTCGTTCTGTGGTCTTTTTTCAAAGGCCATAGCAGCTACATTTCTTGTTATCAGCAATTCAAAAGCATTCGTGCTGCTAGAGAGACTTGTGGCCACTGCAGTCATTTTTGTGATCACTAAGGAAGCTTTGTATTTAAAGAGGAGCGTATGATATTCATCCACTTTTGAGAAAGGTACGCGGATAGTATCAAGGCTCATGAAGCCTTTCAGGTATCCTAAATGGAAGCTAAGGGACATCTTTATATATACGTTCTGGCCGAGAAGGAGGAAATTGCCAAACCTATAGAACCACAGTATGTCGAGGTATTCAGGAAGTTTGAGAACGACAGAACAAACTTTGAGGAGAAGGTACATGTTAATCACTTCTGGGAGTTAAGGGATTAAAGGAGCACACTGATCTTACAAGGTGCTACAATGCCATTTGAAACTGTCTTTACAGTCTCAACCAGCCGAAGAAAGCATCTGAGTTTTACGCTTAAGCTTATGAGATGCAGACTCGTACGGGATTTGAACCCAGGCCTCTGCAATACCGACCAGTTGGCTTGTTAGCTCAGTTGGTAAAGCACTGCCCCGGTATCGCAGAGGTCATGGGTTCAAATCCCATACGAGCCTGAAATTTTTTCAGGCCTTATTTTCACTACTACTTAAGTAGTGTTCATAATTGCGAGGATCGCTTCCGTATTCATTTCTTCAAACGCAGTTCACAAATATGATTTTCATATCATTTACAGTAAAGTTGGGTAAACAACCAGCTGGCTCTTTTTCGTTAAACTAACTCAAGTCTTAGTAAAAAAAACTTCTGAGATGTCACATTTTCAGTAAGGAAATCTGTGAAGCCACTGTAGGCCTTCAGTGTGGTTAGCTTTAGTGTCCTGTTTGATATAGAAAGAGACCAGTCTTTAATCGGGGAAGGGAAATATTAGTTTACAATTTTCATTCAGAAATAAAAATAACTTCGAATGCTTCTCCTTCCCAGTAGACGTTGCAGCTCAGCAGATTCGGAAGCAAGGATGAGGAGCCAAACTTTGCATAGTGTTGAAGAATAAGATTACGGGATCTGTTGAACTAATTTGAACTTATTATAATTCAATTGGATTGGTATTTTCTTTTTAAAGTTGTTTAAGTTTACTTAGAATATCCTCGTACACCGTTTTAATAGGCAGATGTCGGATAAGTTGATTGTAGATATCAAACAAGTTATCCATTTTTATTTCCCGGTGCAAATGTATGAGTATTATATCAAAGGAAGTGCTTTGAATTCGGGATTGGCTTTAAACTGCATACATGTCATTCAACTGCAGTAATTTAGAGATTAGTTTTCTGGTGTAGTTTTTAGCGCAAACGGAAATGACCTACTTCGAATTCAAATATATGCCAAAACTAATTTGCTTTTAAATAGATTCTACCCCTTTTTTGGAGGTACTTATTCTGTTACTCTGCTAAAAACAGAGTAACAGAATTTCGGGGGACAGCGCGTTCTGTTATATTTCGAGGCGTCTTAACTTGAATGAGACTGAAATTTAGGCAATCTAAAGTGATGAGCTCATGCAAGATTTACAGTGGAGCGGACGCGTATTTACGAAGTATCTCTACGAAAACAAGAGAAAAAATCAAAACGATCTAAATCATCGAATGAATAATTTATCGATAAAAAACTCACTCTTACTTTCGTCTGATGCAAGCTTTAAAGCAAAATTTTTTTTATACAAAGAGGCCTACAAGGTTTCGGAGATAAAAAGGGAATAAGCCAACTTAGCTATATCGCGGGGCCCATTTTTGTGCCAAAAAAAATCCACGTCCAACAAACAAATGAATTTTAAAATGATAGGAATGCACTTTCAAAAGCTTTCAAAAGCTTTCAAAACAAAAAACTTAATTGCGTGAGATGGGAACTATATGCCACATAAAAGTATAAAGCAATCAAAAATTTAGTGAGATAAGGGTCAATGATTATATTATATTATTTATAACTAATTAAAACATCACTATTACTAATATTATTTTTTACAGTATGATGTTTCCGCAGCAACTATTTACTCAGCACGTCTTACAGGTTTTTTTAGCTGCTTTTATTCCATGAAAACGAATGTAACCACTTTGAAGAAAACTTCACGAAAAAAGTCCCTAAAAAATAAGAAACTAAAAACCAAAACAAAGCAAAACAAAGTAGGAAGGTTTTCGGATAGATAAGGGAACACAAAAGCTTCTTCAAGAGAAGGGAGTTCGTTATATTCCTTTAGTTTTTCCTTTTAAATCTCGTGTGCCCCTAATTTTTTAAAATGTTCTATTACGGAATGTTATTGGTGACTTGGTTACTCGGAAAACGTCATCGACCTTAGTAAGACCCCGACAGACTATTTCTAAGAGGGTGAGGGGGTGAGGGGGTGAGGGGGCGAGGAAAGCGTGAAAGCTGACACGGCCGACCGCCCCAATTCAACTATAAAGAAACATTACAATTTGTGACCCCAATTTGATGGTGGATGTGCCATTAACAACCGATTTTCATTTGTTTTCCTCCCATCTCGTCCCCATACTGAAACTTTCGCTTTATGATTTGGTCAATCAATAAATCAATGAACATCAATTAATACTTTATTGAACATAAGTTAAAAAGTTAAAAGCAACAGAGCTGATATGGACTTACATGTACGACATACAACAATACACTATTAGTCAAAAGTTCTAAATAAATCAAAATGTTTCTAAATATTAGTCAATAACAAATGTAATCTTAGTATGTGTTCGAGATTGTAAAGGCTTCCTTCTGAAATTACATGTTGACGGTTATATTCTGGGCTAAAAGCCCTCTACAGAGATTCTCCCTAAATCTACGTTAAGATGTGGTAATTTAAAACTTAGGGAGTTGCATAAATTATAATTAGACTTACTAGTCTAGATCTAATTAAAAAGACAC